TACAGTTACTCCAAGCTTTATGCGGAAATGCACACACTTATCCACACAGAGCTGCACCAATCCCATCCCTGCAATTCTCAGGAAATTTAGATAAATGCCAACCTGTACTCAAAGATATAGTAACTTAGCTCCCTAACATGAAAATATGGACCTCTATAGAATACTTTCCCTCCTAATGTCCACATTTCTTAGAAACCACATGCACGGGTCTTTATATAAATGTTTAGCTGCATCCTGGACCCACTTTGCATCTATCTAATGGTTGCCCACACTTGTGTACACACACACACACACACACACACACGGGAAGTATGCATTTGTCTCTGAAGAACTGCCTTTAATGTCCTGCTGAAGCCAAAGAATCAAACCTTCAAGCTAGTAAGCTAATCACTGCTCAGGAGCAATAACGTTCCAAACAGGAAATTGGTCCAGTTATAACATCCTCTGAATTATGATCTCTGCATCCTTGTTGCTTTGCCTGATACCCAACCACCGGAACGGCCTGCCGAGTGTCTACAGTAGCAGTTCAGGAAAACGCTGGTCATGGTTTTCTTCCCCATGGGATGGTGTGGGCAGATAAATAATCCACAACATGCAGCCCCTTAGGATCAGCTAGAGAAAATGAGTCTTAGACCAGGACCCCAAAAGGAACGTTCACCACTCATTCTATAATAGCTCCCATTTCCCTACACAGACCTGTTCCTCCCCCTCCCCCCTCCCTGTACCCCTACCCTCAGGGATGGCAGGCACAGATTGAGGTGAGCCCAGCACCAGCCTTGGCTTCCCAGCTGTCCTGGAGTGTGGCGTGGGCATATCCTGTGCTAGGTACCTTGCACTTTGGCTGGATGATTTTTTTTTTCTTTTCTTTACTCCCCCCCGCCCCCAAATAGGAGTTACAAATATAAGGTGCAAAATGCAGGAGGATGCCAGAGCAGTAAGCCAGTGATCTGGCCAGTGATCTGGAGGTCCCTCCCACCAGCAATACACCTTGCCCCTTAGGATATATGGGGAGGGGCAAAAGTAGGATTACAATTGTGAGTACACAAAATACAGTTTATTTTTGTATTATTACTTATTCATAAAATATATTTTATTGATTTTTTACAGAAAGGAAGGGAGAGAGCTAGAGAGCCAGAAACATCGATGAGAGAAACATCGACCAGTGCCTCTTGCACACCCCCCACCGGGGATGTGCTCGCAACCAGTGTACATGCCCTTGACTGGAATCGAACCCGGGACCCCTCAGTCCGCAGACCAACACTCTACCACTGAGCCAAACCGGTTTCGGCTATTTTTGTATTATTATTTATTCAGCATTGTATTACTTTCCATACAACTGTAAACCTACTTCTCCCCACCCCTGTATTATGTCCTGTGGGTGATGAACTAAATGTGACCAATGACATGAAGTTCTGTTCTTTGGGGCTGGAAGCCAGTCCCTGTCCCACCAGCTCCCCTTCAGTGATTGCCCGTGATGGGCTTATTCCTCCTGCCCACCAGGTATCCAAACACAGGTACCAGACACAAGGAAGAAGGCATCCTTAGGGGAAGACGGGAGATTTCTTCTTTGCATGGTGTGGATGCTTATTTAAGAGATGGAAGTTGAGCCTTAGGGTTTAGTGACTTGATGTGTGTGTGTGTGTGTGTGTGTGTGTGTGTGTGTGTTTCAGATTAAATGAGGTGTTTTGTTTTTAAACGCATGATGAGAACATTTTTACAGAAGAGAACAAAAGACTGTATCATCCTTAGCATGATTTTCATCCCCTCTCTTTTCTTCATTTCCTTGGCATTGCTTTCCAGACATTTGAAGACAACTGTGGCTGCAAGCCTTTGTTTTCCTAATGATCGTGTTTCTGTGGAGGAAAACCTCCTCCTTTGCCCTTTTGCATGAATACTCAGTTACTAAGATTGAGATCTGGTCATGAATCAATCAAGATCAACGTGGGTGAGGACTCGTGGAGGAACAACAGTAGCACAGGGCTCCCTCAGGGACTAAGTCTGGATGGAGGGACAGAGGACGGTGGGGCTATGAAGTGGGTACCTCCTGCCCTCTTCTTTTTCTCCGCTGCTCCATTTGAGTACTCTCTGTGCTCCAGACCTTGTGGACTCAGCCCCCAAACAAGTGGCAGGCAGGTCCCTCAGAAAGACAGAACTGTGCCCCACCTTCCTCCTCTGTTTCAAATGCTGGCCCAATCCATGGTGTCCTAATCCTAGCTCCCCCTTGATTACCAGGAATTTCTTGTTGCTGCAGCCCTGTTATCTGGAATAAGGTGCGAACTAGGACAGACATGGTAAGACCATTTATCAGGGTGGCACATCGGCCATGAGAAACAAAGGTCTTTTCTCTTGGAATTCCAACTGGTCCTTTGAAAATTATTTTCTTGCATTCAGTAAGAAATGAGCAAAACGAAACTGTGAATATGTGAAAGTTAAATTTAAAGCCGTGTGAAGCCTGATTCTAGAGTAATGTTTTAATGATAACATCTAAGACAACTGGTAATAAAGCAACTCAAGGAGTAGGTGAATGTCAAAATACACAGAAGTGGAGAGAGAAAAGGAGAATGAGACAAAGAAGGAAAAATTAAAAGAGACAGAAGAAAAGAAGATATTTGGGAAGTAGGGTGGACATTAGAGATTTGGAGGAAAGTGGGCCATTTTCTTATGCTGGTCACATGAGAACACTATGCCCAGCAACACGCATGTGGCTTTGAGGTACATACCTCATAGAATGCACCCGTCTAATAGCAAGGTGCGAGGGGGACTAAAGAAATGATGCTGGTCCCAAATAGAATGTTCCCACCCAGGTAACATACAGAGAGACCTATGTGCACCGATACCTAAGCCTACATCCTCTTGTAGAATGTCCCATAGGACCTAGAGTTTCAAAGATCACTCCCACGTTCAGCAATATGTGAGCTCCTAGAGCTGAGGTCAGCAAACTGCAGCTCACGAGCCACAGGTGGCTCTTTGGCCCCTGGAGTGTGGCTCCTCCACAAAATACCACGGCCTGGGTGAGTCTATTTTGAAGAAGTGGCGTTAGAAGAAATTAAACTTTAAAAAACGTGGCTCTCAAAAGAAATTTCAATCGTTGTACTGTTGATATTTGGCTCTGTTGACTAATGAGTTTGTCGACCACTGTCCTAGGGGGAAAAGTAAAAACACTTTCTTTCCTATATTGAATTTCCTTTGAAATACCAGTAAGGAATTAATTACGTACAGGAATCAAGGGATACACTCTGCATGATAACTGTTCTGTTCAGTAAATTTCCATTTCAGTTATCTCCTTAAAGTGGGACATACCTATTTCATCTCTTCTCCTTTGTCTTCTACCTCACTTTCCTTGGTGGCCTTTCTTACTGCTCCCATCTGGATCAGGGGGTCCCAGGACTGCTGCTGAGCTCAGGTAGCTACAAGACACAGCACCTCAAACTCTACAAGCTCCAGAGAATGGGTTCGAGAGCTGGGGAGTGCGGCCTAGAAGCCTTGGTGGCTTCTGAAGCAGGGAGACATGTTCAGCCCTGGTGCACGGAAATCAGCTTCATGGCTTTTAAGCCATGCCACAGACAACCTGGGCTAGTGTGGCTGGGGGCTCCTGACTTCAAGGCAGACCACTTGCACCGTAGGGGCATCCTGACCCCTGAACCTCCCATCCAGCCTCTCCCTCCCCTGAGTCGGAGCCCACTGGCCATTGTTTGGTACCCACGCTTGGAAGAAGATGCACTTTTTTCACACTCTTACTGGACAGACCAGCTGCCCGGGTTTTGGGCTTTGTCAGGGTTGACGCTATGGACAATGATGTACACGCCACCTTCCCTCTGCCTGAGCTCTCTTCTCCCAGACGCTCTCATGGCTGGATCCCTCACTTTATTCAGAGATGAGCTCAAATAACTTCTCCTCAGAGAGGCCTTCCCCACCACCAGATCTAAAAAAACCCCACCACCCTTGAGCTTCTGCAAATCTGCCCAGAGCATAGTGGGCCATGCCCAAATCACGTACAGATGCATCTGTAAGGAATACTATCCAGAAACCACAACAGACTCCTTCCTTGGGCTTGTACATTAGTCACCTTTGGAAACTTCATGGCACAGAAAAAAAATAGTCTTTTACCATTTATTCAACAATGGGAAAATATAAACTTACAAGTTTACAACGATTTATAAAACAGACCCTAACAAAAGACAGATATATGGCTGGGAGAAAGGAGCACCATCTAGTGTGATTCTTCCGTAGAACAATCTAGCAGTACCCAGCAGCAGCCTTCCAAGTAGTCACATTGTTTGGCCTAGTGGTACACATTGAGGGCTTTATGATATCAAATAAAAGACCAACATTGTATGATTTCATGTATATGTAGTGCCTAGAGCAGTCAAATTCACAGACATGAAATAGGATGATGGCTGCCAGAGGCTGGGGCAGAGTGGGGAATGGGGACTGGGGAGTTATGTTTACTGAATACAGAGTTTCAAATTGGGAAAATGAAAGAGTTCTCATCTTCTTTCAGCTACTTCTTCAGCAGTCTCAGATTCTGTAAGGCCCTATGTCTAGGCATAATTTTAAACACTGTTGGTACCTGGGGAACCAGCTATTTCTATGACTGCATCCTCTTACTACAATAGTTCTCCTATACAATGCAGGTGCTCTGCCACAGAGCTGGGAAATCTTTCACACGATGGAATAAAGGGACTTATCCCAGGTCACTGGACTGTGTTCCACCTTCCAGTCATGTGACTAACAGCCCATGGGGACTTTAAAGGCTTGCATGACATTTCTGTGGGGAGAAACTCTTGTGACTTTAAAAACGGTCCTCTTTAAAACAACAAACAAACAAAACTTGTCCTCTTCTTTTGCCTCTCTGTAACTTGTTCCCTGAGCCCATGTAGCCCAGCTGGCTGATTTTTCTACCTTTGTGACTTTCTAAATACACTTTCTCTTATTAAAAAAATGATAAAGTGAAAAATAAAACATGGTCCTCAGAGCCCCTCCCATTCTTGTTCTCTTACCTTGTAACTTGAGTCCTCATTCCAAAATCCAGTGACCTCATCGACTGCAGCACTTCGATACAGCCCATGTACTGGAATAAGAAAAAGAAGAAAAGAAAAAGAACAGGTAAGAAAAAAAACAGCACAAAGATGTCTCTTAACTTTAGAGCGATTTCACATTAAATAAACACCTTAAATCAGCTCCTGCTAACAAACTATATTTACACACTAGCCTTCTGTTGCTATTTCAGACCAATAATGGACACATACCTTAAACTTCAGTTCAGCTATAAAATCTCAGCTAAAGCCCAACTGTAACATCAGGAATGCAGGTAACGAAGACAAATATGAATTCACTGGTTAACAGCTTGAGCTCTGGGACCAGACCACGTGATGTAAAATCCAGGCTCTGCCACGTGTCAGGTGTGGGGCCTCAGCAAGTTACTCAACATCTCTGCATCTCAGTTTTGTCGTCAGGGAAATGGGTAAACAATCAGAACTGCTGTGAGAGTAAATTATTTCATACAGGTGTCCTGAGAGCAGTGTGTGGCACATACATGTGCTCCAATATTAGAGGAACTATAAGCAGATGAGAGACTAATAATACAGAAACACCGAATCTTCTAAGGCGATAAAACAAGCCTATAAATGCAGGTAATATAGGATTTAGTAATAGAAGATCTTTGTTGTTGTTGTTGTTGTTGTTGTTGCAATATCACATAAGGGAGTGCAAGAAAAGATAAACCATTACGTTTTACACCAAGAATAAGTAAATTTAACTTGAACACACAGAATTAGAAAAGGAATTGTGGCTTATAAAGCTCAAAGATGGTTTCTATTTAATGTGGGAACAGAGGGGGCCACGCCTGGCCGCTGTGAGAGAGCGATGTGATCAGTGTGAGCACCTATGCCAGCAGCAGTGTGGAGGTGGGAAAGTGAGGGAACAGTGAGGATGTGCCTGCCCCCAGGGAGGCAATGACAGCCCACACCCAAATGGGATGGGGCCCTCGGAAGGAGGGGACAGAGTCAAGTGGCATCACGGAAATAGATACTACATGATTCGGGAGTTGGTTTGATCTGGAGAATGAGAAGGATGAGTCAAGGATGACTCAGACATCTCCAGCGGGGTAGCAGAGGGAACAGTGATTCCATCAACAGAAACAGGAAAGCTGGGGCTGGGGAAGATGAGCTGGTTTGGGACTCGTTGGTTGAAAGGCCCTGGTGGGGCATCCAGGAAATGACAAGCTGGGTTCAGGGAGCGTGGAGAGGAATGAAGCCTGGGATGCAGACTCGGGAGCCGGCTGGTAGCTTTGCCAGGTGAGGCCGGGGAGTGAGTCCTCTTAGCAGAGCCTTAGATGCTGAGGAAGAGGGGTTCTCAGAGAATGAGCTCAGAAATGTTAGGAGAGCCAAGTGGTCTGTCTGAAAGTGATCTTTGGGCTCCTTGAATATTATATGCTTTCCTTTAGAAACCATCCAGCCCCTCTCTGCTTGGAAATGCCCCAAACCCTGTGGAAAGGTGGCGGGGGCCAGGGGTGCTTCTCCGGACACTCGGTGTATCATTTCTGAACAAATTCTCTAGATTTAGCATCCTAAGAGCTGGTCGGTCCTCCAGTTGCCAAGAGCCTAGGGTTGGGGAGGGCGTGCCAGCCAGGACAACCGCCTGGTGATTCCTGCCCACACTTCGCTGGGGTCTCCAGTACTGACACACACACCTTCTTTGAATGTCTTATTCTGAACCCATCACACTTAACTTCCCAAGGCTTGAGCACCTCAGGGAAGTGAGTGGTGTCTAGAAATTTCAGTTCAATGAACCCTAAGACTTAGCAGGGAAGGAAAGCTTGGGGGGCGGGGGCGGGGGGGGGGGGGTAGAAAGCCCATCTCAGAATTGTCGTGCAATGAGATTCCAAGGTTTCTAAGCTCCCTGCTGAGGTGAATTGAAGGTTTTCCTAACCTCACTGGCTACGCCCACTTTTCTTGCCTTCCAGTGTCTCCTTCTATTCCAGAACTTTCCTCCAGCTTTCCTATTTCCTGCTCGCCTCACACTGGAAAGAATGGCCTCCCCACACATGTTGGGAGACAGGTCTGGCTACACCTGCAGGCCCTGGTCAACCCACAGGTGGTCTCATTTCCCCTTCTGTGTAAATCTATTTGAGATGAGGTGACGCACCTATCAGGGCACAGTTGTGTGTGTGTTTTTTTGTTTGTTTGTTTGTTTTGGTTGTTTGTTTTTTAATATATCTTTATTGATTTCAGAGAGGAAGGCAGATGGAAAGAGACAAAAACATCAATGATGAGAATCATTGATTGGCTGCCTCCTGCTCATCCCCCAATGGGGATCAAGTCTGCAACCCGGGCATGTGCTCCTGACCAGAATCGAACCTGGGACCCTTCAGTCTGCAGGCTGGTGCTCTATCCACTGAGCCACACCAGCTAGGGCAGGGCATAGTTTTCTAAACCGTGACCAAGCACCTACATTTTTCACACTCTGCCAGGGTGGTTTCCCAAAGTGAATAGCAGAACATGCCCCTGCACCGCTTAAAATCCCTGGCACGAACTCTCCAAACAAACGCAGTCCTATAAACTTAGACCCCGGGATTCTGGCTCTGCTTGCCCTTCCACTGTTTGTGTTACTCCCCCTTCCCCCCCCCCCCCCCCCCCCCTCGTGCTTTTTGCTGCCACACGGGTCTTCTCTCTACTCCTGGAATGCACCCAACTCTTTCCAGTCACAGGGCCTTTGCATTGCGGCTCCTCGCCCCACACGGCCAGCTCTTCCCCTGTTGCTCTGCAGGACTGACTCCTTCTCATCCCTCAGGTTTGAATGCAGGTGTCACTGCCCCAGAAGTCCCTCCCCTCGCCCTTCATCACAGCCCCTATTTGTCATCTTCATGCCACTGACCGATGATCAGGTTCGCCTGTTAATTCGCTTGTTCCCTGTCTTCCTTCCCTTGGCGGTAAGCACCATAAGGGCGAGGACACTGACCACCACGGTGTCCCCATCACCGGGGACAGGGAAATACTGACGAAGGAATGAATACGGCTTTTACCGTTCCACTCTGACAGTACCTTTCAGCTGAGCAGAGGAAGGGAGGAGAAAGTTGGACCCAGAATGAGTGAGGAGCACAGGAGAATGAGGCCTCAGGAATTGTCGGCCAGGAGGATGGCCTCTGGAAGGCTTCTGGATTTCTTTGTTACTTCCTCCATGTGTGTTTTGTTATCCCCCCCATCTCAGAGATTGGCATCAGCTAAAACTGAGAGGGTTTTGCAGTGGCACGGATGGGAGGGAACAATGCTCTACCCTCAGGTGTTGTGGGAGAAGCCCACAATGATAATGAGCTCCCACGTGAGGGACAGGGTCTAAATGGGGCAACTCCAGTGGTGGGGTTCTTAGTGCAGAGTGGGGGTGGAGGAAGGGGGAGAGCGGAGATTCCAGGGTTTGGTTCTTTTTTTCTTTTTTTAAAATATATTTTATTGATTTTTCACAGAGAGGAAGAGAGAGGGATAGAGAGTTAGAAACATCAATGAGAGAGAATCATCGATCAGCTGCCTCTTGCACACCCCCTACTGGGGGGTGTGCCCGCAACCAAGGTACATGCCCCTGACCGGAATCGAACCGGGGACCTTCCAGTCCGCAGGCCGATGCTCTATCCACTGAACCAAACCGGTCCTAGCCAGGGTTTGGTTCTTAATCACATTTCAAGATGCTGACCACCTCATCTCCTTACTTCAAGGGCAGACCATGGGATGGCTTCTGATCCCAACCTCGCCCCTCCACCAAAAACTGTTTTTGCTTCACACACTTGTCTGTTGACAACAGCACCGGTGACACCTTCTGCAGCCTCCCTGAGATGAAGTGAAGTTTCTGAAGAAACATGAACCATGAGGTGCCGAAGGGAAGGTTCCCCGCAGGCCTCTCAGCCAGGCTTGAGGGGCCCGGGCCGGTGGGTAGAACATCGGCCTGGGCACCAAAAGGCCTTGGGTTCCATTCCCAGTCAAGGGCACATGCCTGGGTTTCAGGTTTGATCCCCAGACCTGGTGTGTGTGTGTGGGGGGGGGGTGTGGGAGGCAACCAATTGATGTATCTCTCCAGCATCTCTCTCTCTCTCTCTCTCTCTCTCTCTCTCTCTCTCTCTCTCTCTCTCTCTTTCTCTCCCCTCTTCCTCCTTTCCACTCTCTCTAAAAAAATCAACAGGAAAAATATACTTATGAGGATTAGAAAGGAAGGAAGGAGCGGAGGAAGGAAGGAAGGAAGGCATGCAAGCCTGCAGTGATTATGACAATGAGTCCATCCCCTCCACCCTAGGCCGGTGAGGAAGCCACTCTGGGCAGAGTGAAGGGGGGTTATCAATGCCTGATTATTGCCGCAATTACCCCAAAAACCAGAATGGGCTTGGCCTCCCCATTGGCTCACACAGTCCATTTCACTCAGAAACCATTGCTGTGAGGAAGCAGGGAACGAGCGCGCATAAAAATAACCTCTGCCCTTCTTTGTTTAGGTGCCTGCTGGCTGCATGTGTGGATGGTGGCTGAATGTCAAGGCCTGAGGAAGAAGCTTAGTTTGTTGATTTAGATGTAAGCTAGGGGTGACAATACCTCTCATTCATTTATGGAAGGCCGATCTGCACAGGACGTAGTCTGTGTTCCCAGCCCCATAAGGATAGGACAACGGTGAACGGATGACTTTTCTCTCGGCGGGGTTAGTCATTGCTGTTCATTCCATTGAGTAGATGAGGAAATTGAGGCCCTTGAAGGGACGGTGCCTGGCTCCGTTTCATTTGTTCAGTGAGGTGAAACCAGGGTTTCTTCTAGAGCCCAAGTCCATGCCTGGGCTCTGTGTGTGAGTCTGTATAACAGGACCGTCCAAACAGAGGGCTCCTCCAGCCGGCCCCACGCACTCCGCCTTAGGCTCCCAGGTGGGTAAGGAGGGGAGGAGTCTGGAGCCACCTGGTAAGAACGGGCATGAACCAGGCTCCCCTGGGGACAGCAGGAGGCGGCACAGGAGACAAGACACTCCCTAACTCCCGGCCAGGGGCTGAGGGGAGGACACTGTGGGTGATGAGAAAGGGGCGAGTCTCGGCACAGCTCAGACAACCTT